CAAGAAGGAAGTCTGTCTTTAGACAGATGGATAAGGGAAGATTGCCTCAAGGAGTCCTGTGAGCTGAGATCTAAAGAAATCAGCAAAACACCGGATATGGTGGCTCATGCCTGCAATTCCAGCACTTTGGGAGGCAGAGGCAGAAGGATTACCTGAGGCCAGGAGTTCAAGACCAGCCTGGACAACATGGCAAAATTCTGTCTCCAATAAAAATACAAAAATTAGCCAGGTGTGGTAGCGTGCACCTGTAGTCTCAGCTACTTAGGAGTCCAAGGCATGAAAATCACTTGAACCTGAGAGGTGGAGGCTGCAGTGAGCTGAGATCGCACCACAACACTCCAGCCTGGGTGACAGAGCAAGACTCTGTCAAAGAAAAGAAAAGAAGAGAGGGGAGGGGAGGGGAAGGGAAAGGGAAAGGGAAAGGAAAAGAAGAAAGGAGAAGAGAGAAAAGAGAAAGAGAGAAAAGAAAAGGCAAGGGAAGGCAAGAAAGAGAGAGAAAAAGAAACTGGCAAAGTGAAGAACTGGGGAAACAAATTCTGGTGAGAGGGAACAAGGGACAGCATGTGCAAAGGACCAGTGCTGAGAAAGAATCTGACACATCCGAGGAACCAAACAGACCGGGTATGCCTGAAGCATTCTGAGAGAGGAGAGGAAAAGAAGCCTGAAGAAGTCACTGGATCATGCAGGATCTTACAGGCCATGGCAAGGAGTTCAGATTTTATCTTATGTGCCAGGGGAGGCCATCAGAGGAATTAAGTCCCAAAATGACAAGGACTGATTTACCCAGACCAAGCTCAGCACAGAGCTCATCACACAAAAGGGACAAGCAAAAGGCTGTGGAACATCTGAATAAATAGATTCAAACTTGATTTTCAAGACGAGGAGAACTGCTGGCTTTATAGAAAGAAGGGCAAGATTTCAGCTTTTGCCGGTGAGAAGAACAAACAGTTTTGCCTAATCCAAATTCGCTTTCATGCCGCTTTGCCTAAGCAGCACACAGAGCCGCTGGAATCCACAGGCGCATCATGACAGAATAATTTCACTGATTATTATCAAATGCCTCTATTTAAGAAAGCCCAGAAGATTGTATTAGCATGATCCAATATTTATGAAACGACACTCTGCCATAATGAGGGGCTGACAAAATTAAGATCAGAAGCAAAAGCCATGTCTCTGGGGAGAGAAAGTAGCATGAGCAAAAAGACACACTTATACTCAGCTTCTTGGAACTTGGTTTTCTGATCTGTAAAATGGGAAGGATAGTAGCAAAGAGGAAAATATGTGATCAGTTAGTGCAGGACCCAAAGGCCTTTAATAATGTTTTCTCATTCATTCCCATGCTAATAAAAATACCTAAAAAAGATGATTTGGCCATTCACATATCCATCCAACAAATTGCTAATTTAGTACATAGGATGTCTGATGTCCTGTGTCAGGCACTGAAGATAAAGTTGTGAACAAGGTTCTCATGGTCCCCAATCACATGGAACTTCTCATCTGGGAGTAAAACATGCATTGGATGAACAACACCTGCTGTGATGCGTTTTACTAAGGAAAAGTGCAAGGTGCAATGGGTACCATTACAAAGTGAGCTGACCCAGATGGAGATAGGAAGAGGAAGTGCAAGGCAACAGGAAGGGGAAAGGCTCCATGGAGGATGCCAATCTCATGTGCACTCCTGAGGCAGGAACATTCTGGCAATTGGCAGAAGCCAGCGTAAAGTGAGCACAGTGGGACGTGGAGCATGATGAACTTGGAAGGTTTAGGGAGGATCAGCCCTCAGAGCCTTGGAGGCCACAGCAGGGCTTTGGTCTTTTCTGAAGCAATGGGAAGTCTCAGAAAGGCACGGGACAGAAGCTGGGCAGAGACAAGGAAGAAAAGAGGTAACATGAACATGCTTGTGTTCTAGATTAATCTCTTTGGAAAATGGATAAACTTCAAAAGAGTTAAGTCAAAGGAGCCTGTTGGAAAGTGTTCACTTACCCAGGAAACAGACAACGCCTGTGTTCACCAGGGCAGTGGTGGCAGAGATGGAGAGGCTTTGGCAGACCCAAGGTATACTTAGGAAGTAAAACGGCAGAACAAAGTGATTGATTGGAAAGGTGGGCAAGAGACTGAAGAGAGAAACATGGCCCCGGGTTTCTGAATCAGTTCCAGTGGAGTGAAATGAGCTGCTGGAGACAAGGAAAGCAGAAAGTGAATAGACAGGGAAGGGGAAATGGGTATATCAAGAGGTCAGTTTTGGAGATGTTGAGCTTGGACAGCCTACAACATGCTACAGGGCTTCAGGTGGACTAAAGATGAGCAGAAAGAGCATATGTAAACACACACACACACACACACACACCCCTACACACACATATGCACATGCCCCCCTTACACACACACCATACACATGCGTACACACCTCCCATATACCCCACATACACATACGTCACCCCTTACACAGAGATCCCCATACACATGCATACACATACACACCCATACACATGCATACACATCTCCCATACACACACACACACTCCTCCATACACACAGACCCCCCCATACACATACATACACACACACACACCCATACACATGCACACACCCTCGTACACATGCATACACACCCTCCGTACACACCCATACATCCTCATAGATCCCCATACACACACACACACATCCTCCATACACATACATGCATACATGCACATGCACACACACATACACATATACACACACACCCTCATACACACACACTCCCATACACAAACATACCATCCCTACAACCTGTATGCACACACACATACACCCCCATACACTCCCATATACATAAACACCCATACACATGCACACACACCCTCCATACACACAGTCATACACACACGTACACCCCCCTTATGCCACCATCCACTCCCCCATATACTCCCACACAAACATCCATACACATGCACACACACCCTCCATACACACACACTCACATACACGTACACACCCCCTTTATGCCCATACACACACACATATACCCCATATACACACACACCCAAAGACATGCATACACACATACACCAACACACTCCCATACACACACATACACACATACACACACACTACACAGGCATGCACACACACACCACATCCATACACACATACTCACACACCCCCATTCACACACACTCATGCATACACACACATGTATACACACTATGAGATCCAGATTTATTTAGCCAGTATCAAAGAGGGCCATGAAGAGTAGAGCAGATGTGATATGTTTAAGCAGAGGTATCCTGGACTCTTAGGGTACCTAATGGAATGGGTAATTATATCATCTAAACCAGGTAGTACTTTTGATAAAGTCAGCATTAGTAAAAAGTATGATGGGGCAACAGACAGAGGTTGTTCCACATTGCCTTACTAATGGGCATGCATAGCAGTTGATGACTTTGCTCAATCAAAATAAGATTCCTCAATTTTGTACCATAGCCTACTTCATTATACCTAAGGCTTGTGTCAACACTTGTGAGAAACATATACAACTAATGCCCTTAGCAGGAGCTATCTAAAATCACCCAGTGCCTCCTGCTTTGAAGCCAGACTCAAAGTGAGTGAGACCAGTGAGAATACACCCTCACCCTCACCTAGGCATCTCTGAGCATCTTCTTTGCTCCCAGTTTATTGGCATCCTGGGAAACCCCATTCTGCAGAGGTAGCCAAGACGACATGGCAGCTGGGCAGTGGGTTCTGTGGGTCTAAAATTCCTAAGAGACATCTAGGCTGGAAGAATAAATGTCAGAATTGCCAGCACAGAGGCGGTATCTGAGGCCATGGAGTGGGTGAGGCCATCCATGGGAAGAACACCGAGTAAGCCTGAAGAACCCTTAACACTCCTGACAACAGAGACTGAGGAACAGCACCTGGGGATTTGGTGAAAACCAAGACACGTGTGGGTTAGAGCCAGGCAGCCCTTGGTCAGGGAGACCTGTAGAAAGTGGCCTCCCTTCTCCAACAAGCAATTGTCCTTACAACGTAGCCGGGATATGTGATTATTCAGAGAAGTGAGCTTCACTTTCTCAGAGCCACTACTCTTCCTGTCTGATATCACCAGGTAACCCTCTTCAAGGTGCACCTTACACAGGTATACCCCACATGTAGAGTCTGTGTGTTCTCCCAGAGTAGACCTCCTTCAGGTACTTCCCTTGAAATACGTCAGGTGTATCTCACAGGCCAGTCCCATGCAGGTATCCATCAAGAATTTACACTAGGCCTTCAGCCCCACTGGCTAAGGATAAAAGCTTGGCATTTAGAATGTCAGGATGTTAACCTTATAATATATAATAATAATAATACATAACAATATATAATAATATAACCTCATAATCATCTATGAAAGTCTCCCTATATATATAAATTATATAATACATATACTATAATGTATAATAATAGAACCTTATAATAATCTGACTGTGGAAGTCTCCCTAAATATATATATATGTAAATAATATATGTACATAATGTACACATATGTAATATATGTAAATAATATATGTAAATATATAACATGTTAATATGAAATGTTTACATAGAAATATATAATAATATATAACAAAAATATAATTAATATAACCTTATAATAATCTGACTGTAGAAGCTTCCCTGAATCTATAAAACCTATGTCTATGTGACCTGGAAGAAAGAAGGGACCTCAAATTCTTCAGAACCTCTTTCCTTCCCTGATATGCCACAGTCATCAGGCTCCCAAGCAAAACCCTACCTGTAGCTATAGCTTAGAATCTCAAAGCTAAAAGAAATGCTGAATCCAGGTGACATGTGACTCGTACCAAATCCTGAAGAATTCACTCAGCCTTGGTTTGAACACCTCTGAGTATAGGGAACTCACTGCCTACAGAGCTATCGATTGCCATCTCAGAGAGCTCTATTTGTAAGTAAGTTCTTCCCCCATAATTCATGGTAAAAACTAGCCATCCCCATTACAGCCCCAAAAAGAATGGATCACATACCTGTGGGCACTGCCTGGTCCAGCATTGGTTTCTCCCATGTGTTAATCTGCTCCCAGGTGAACCCATTGGTCCCTAGAGCCACGCTATAACCACAGTTGCTGTAGTGCTCATCAAAGGAACAGCCACCTGCAGACAAAAGAGATATGGGTAAATACATTCCTGTGTCTGAGGCTTGGTTCGTTACCCTGTCTCATTGGCTCTTCATTTACAGCTTTGAATTTTAAACTCTGGAGAAGATTTTCTTTTATGAAAAAAAAAAAAAGATGAGCAAATTGGATTTTTATATTTGCTTTGGTGCTCTCAGGAAAGGCACTGGCATCTGCAGGCCCCCCTATTTTAAAAAGTTAATAAGGCTAGTTACATTGATTTTAATCTTCCTTCCTGAGAAAGTAAACAGCAGCATCTCATTCTAAGTAGGAAAAATGAATGCTGGGGCATGCCTCTGTAATTGCTTTGTACAGCACGGGAGATGCTGTGAGGCAGAAGAAGGAGCACTCACTTCTGAGTCTGGCAAAACTAGACAGTCATCACCTTCACAAGGCTGTGTGAGCTCAGGCCAGAGGCTTCATACCTGGGTGCCTTGGTTTCCTCACCTGTGAATATGGAGGAAACTGTCCAATCTTATAGAAATGCCATGAGGATTAAATGGAATAACATATGAAAAGTAACTGCCACAGAATACTTTCTCAATGCCCACCTGTTTCTCTGTAAAAAGCAGTCTGAAAAAACCATTTTTCATGGGGTGAGAAACGAATTGGTAAGACATTAGACAATCATGCACCTGGAAGATAATAAAGTCAATGTTGATCATGTTTCAAGCTTCTCCCTTTAACTTTAAAGGTCAAGCCATCCACCATTTGAGAATAAGTTACATTCATTTGCTGTTGACAAGGATTCACTGAGCATATGCTCTGGGCTGTAAGTCCCATCAAGGTGACATTGGGAGAGAGGTGGGGTGTACAACAGAGGCTCCAACTAGGAAACACTGGTCTGTCCAGAGAAATAGGAGCCCATTATATTCTGGAAGAGAAAGAAGAAGCAGAGGAGAAGTGAAAAGGGCTTTGAAGGTTGGGAGCATCTCCACGGGCGGAGGGCAGGAGGAATGGCATTCTGGGTTGAGCCCACAGGGTACACAAATGCAGGGAGGCAGAACTGGGTCTGAGTTCTACAGCAGCCTTCTGGCTGGTCTCCCACACCTGTTTCACACTCCAGTCCATCTTTTCCGATGCCCCTTACTTGTCTCCTTAATGTTTAGAGGTTGCATCACATCACCCTTCTCCTCCTCCTTTAAACGTTCATAGGTTTCCCACCCCACAGGGAACCAATGTCTGCTACAGATTAAATGTTTGAATGCCCCCAAAATCCATGCTCAAGTTTTAACCCCCAAAGTGATGGTATTAGGAAGCATGGCCTTTGGGAGGTAATTAGGTCATGAGGGCAGAGTCCTCATGATTGGGGCTGGGATTGGGATTAGTGCTCTCATAAAGAGACCCCCAAAGAGCTATCTCACCCCTTCCACCATGTGAGGACACAAGGAGAATCCAGGTGACATGTGACTCATACCAAATCCTGAAGAATTCACTCAGCCGTGGTGTGAACACCTCATGTGCCATCAAAGAAGCAGAAGCTGGGCCCTCACCAGATGCTGAATCTGCCAATGCCTCGATCTTATACTTCCTAGTCCCCAAGACTGTGAGAAATAAATTTCTGCTGTTTATAAGCCACTCAGTCATGGTATTTTATTATGGCAGCCTAAGCGAACTAAGAAAACAGCCAAACATGGCTTTCTTCAATGTGCGTGAATCATGCCACACTAGCCTGGCCCACCTCTGCAGATTCATTAACATCAGACTATTGTCTCCATCAGCTGCAAAGAACCAAATTCTTTCTCTGCACCCCAGAACTGAGATTTCCTCTGGATAGTGGTGGTGGACATCCTGTTGACAGACTTGATATAGAATATGGTCCAGACACCATGGAAAAACACCTGTGACGTCAAAGCTTTTTCCACTTTCCTTTCTTGTCGTATATGAACACCCGGAAGAGCTGGCCTTTATCAACTGCTGTGGTCCAAATGTGTGTGTTTCTCTGAAATTCATATGTTGAAATCTAATCCCCAATATAATAGTATTAAGAGATGGAGCCTTTGGGAGATGCTCCCAAAGGATTCTGAGGACTCTGCTCTCATGAATGAGATCACGCCCTTATAAAAGATGCCTTAGCATATTCTGCCATGTGAGGACGCACAGAGGGTGCCATCTATGAGTAATGGACCCTCATCAGGCATCAAATCTGCTATCACCTTGATCTTGGACTTGCCAGCCTTCAGAACTATGAGCAATCAATTTCTATTTTTTAAGTAACCTAGTCTGAGTCATTTTGTTATAGCAGAACAAATGGACTAAGACCACTCAAGCACCCCACTGAGTATCTCCACTCCATGGAGGAGAGCCACCCAGAGAGTTGTCTGACCAGGAATATCAGCATTCAACTTTTCAGGAGCAAAATATAAACTTTTCTTGTCATATGCCAATAAGATCTTAAGGTTTAATTGATAGCACTGTAGAGCTTTCTACAACCTGACTAATATATGAAGTATGTCACATACCGTAACACAGTGATCTAAAGAAAGATAGAAGCAGCATATTCTCCCAAGCATTTGCTGTGTCAGGGAATATATTAGACACTGATTATATGCACTATCTTATTAGCTTTCATGTCATCCTCGTGAACCACACGAGGCACATTTTATCTCAACTTCAAATCTAAGGCAATTGATGCACGGAGGGGATAAACGACCTGCTAAGGCAACATGGAAGGAAAGACGGTGTTGGAACCAACACTAAATCCATGGAAACCTAGCTGTAGAGCCCATGCCCATTCTAACAGACCAGAGAGAGAATTATTCCCCCAGGAACAAGGTCTTTCACTTATAAGGTAATGTGAAGGGACCAGGAAGATAAAGAACTTCCAAGGTGGTTGGGTCTCTCCATTCAAATCCACTTTTTCACTCATTCTAGAAACATTCAACAAACTTTTTTAATGGACTCTGGGCATGGAACAGACTGCTACATATAATCCTTACCCTCAAAAGTTTGCAGAACAGAGTGAAAGATAAGCACGCAAACATACAGTGAAGATGCAATCCAAAATATGCTTTCTTATGTATGTGTTGATGCTAAAAAATCCAAGTTATTAATTTATTTTAGTTGATGGTTTAATGAACCAAATCCTCTTCCTTCTTCTAGATAAGATTTACAAGAGCTCACAGTTATACCTCTAGGCATCCCAGGTTACAGCTCCCAAGCAAGGTTACATTAATAGTTACCCCAAATCCATTGGATCTATTGCCCATCCCTCACCTCCCTGCCTCTGCCTAATTGCAGGGAGGTTGCTCGGCTGATCCTGACCTGACTGCTGACAGGTCCTGGCCCTCTAAGGTCTAGGGACATCCCTCCTCTTCACAGTCACCCACTCAACCACCTTGCTTCTCCTCTCTGCTGAGCTCTGTTAGTCACTTCAATCTGCAGCAGGTAAGCAAATACTTTTCCCTTCTTACAGCCTCCTCTTTGATGATAGGGTTCCATAGCAGCAGGCCTTGGACCTCAGTGACCCAATTTTTATTTTCAAACCACAGTCCTCTCTTTGCCTCCGCAGAGGAGCTCGCTTAGAGTGAATTTAAAGGCAGCTTTGCACTCTACCTTGAGCCACTATTTCTTCAGAATATGCCGGCCCCACTGTCAATTCTATCCCACTCTGCCATAATTTGTCATCACTTACAGGATGACATATGTGTTCAGGAGGGAAAATGGGGACCTTAGGGTCACTTAGAGGAACATTAATGTCCCTCCTACAGAAGAGTTTCTACAAACAGGCTCCTGTTTTGCACTTTTATCACTCATACACATCGGAATCCCAGCAATACACAGTTCGTGGTTTTTCCATGGAGCCCTTGGGCTCCCGGCAAAGCAGGGAATTTCAAGGAATGCTGCCTAACTGGTCACTGGTCCAGCCACAGCAGCCGGTTAAACATAGAAGCAGGAAATGCTGCATGATGACAAAAATCAAATTGAGGACAGGAAAAGAAAGAAAAGCAGGACAGAAGGAGGGAGCCACAAATCTATGCTGCGATTTTCCACGTGCTCATCTGCTAAAAGGGGGTTACATATTTAGCTCTGAGCTTCTGACACCCAACAGAAAAAAAGCAAAAACTGGGCAGATACTGGACACTCTTGTGTTTATGTAATAAAAGCCAAATTGCTCGGGGAAATGACAACCATTTCAGGGGCTTTGATCAGACAAGAACTTCTCTGCAGGAACAGTCGTAACAGAAACTCCATATCCCATAATGAAACAACATCCGCACAGGGGGTGAATGGCCAATTTAATGAGACTTTTCTCATAATCATCCCCGTTATAAATTGACAGCATCGCCCAAACATACAATTCAGTAAAAGCTCATTGGGGCCCAACACAATGCAGTCCGGATACCTGCTCCCTATTGGTCTGACTTGACTCAAACGTATGTTTTAAGAAATATTCAGGAGAGAAAATATACCTAATATGTATTTCAGGTAACTTTCTGAGTCTTCTGTCTCTATATTGAGAAATAGAGTGGCTATGAGCTCAAGACTGCATAACCCAACAGCAACCGATATTGCCCTGTGAGTATCGCCTCTTGGCTTCATATCCCTTCCCCATTTCTGAGCCTTCATTTTCTGCTGTGCAAGGCAAGGGGCTGGATAAGATGATTGCAATGAAACTTCCAGTTGTAATATTTAAGAATTCCAGAGATTCAGAAAGAACTGGAACTCTGAGGAACCACAGAGATACAGACCCATGCAGTCAGCACAAGTACCAGCTAGGGTGTCATGCCACTGAGAGCCACCAAGAGGAGGAGAAATTAAAGCCAAGCTTCCCCTGGACTGAGGGCAGAAAACATCTAAACCCAATAACATCCATCTGTCTTGGCACAATTCCTAGGGGCCATAACACGTGACACACACAAAAAAGGTTCCTGACATTGCTGCAGGTGTTTATGGTAGGCTACTCAGGGCAGAGTTATGGTTGCAGAGAATCCCTGATATGGTTTGGCTGTGTCCTCATCCAAACCTCATCTTCAGTTG